GATACCTGAAGGAGATAAGCTGCTCATAATGGATGCCAAGGGCTGCACCTTTCCTGGTGTTGTTCCTTGTAACTTCCAGCAAAGGGGCAAGGGCTGTCTCCATCCATCCATTAGCTAATGATGGTACCACGAAGAGCTCACCAGGCTCCTGCAGTGCTGCTGGGCAGGTTCAGCTTTAGGCCATAACTGCAGTCATTAGTGTTTAGAAAACAAGTTTCCAGGGAAGCAAAATTACACACCAAGGAAATAATAAGCAGCAGTGTAATTAGATGTGAGAGGGAGATCATTTCATTACCTGAACCAGGCCTCATTATTCACTATTTCCCTAGCAAGAGCTGATAAATGCAGGCTAATGAATCCTAGTGCTCTGGACGAGCAGGAGGAGTGCGGCTTGGTGTTGCCGCATGCTAAGCAGGACCAGAGAATCCAGCTCTTAGCTGGAAATCAAACAGGTAAGATATGAACTCATCCATTGCACTGCAGTGAGATGAGAAAAGGGGTTTACCCACTGCTGGCGTGGTCTTACAGAGCAACCCTGGCTGTGGGAATACTATAGGTCCCCTCTGGCTAAGGTGTGTGAACACAACATTAAGCATCCCAAGGATAACAGTGGATCTGCATACACTGGTAATATAGAATCAGAGAATCAATTAGGTTGGAAAAGACCTTTAAGATCATCAAGTCCAATATGTGCAAAGGCCAGAGCTGGCTCTTTAGGGAAAGACTTCAAGGACCAACTGTATCAGCTGGAGACTCCCAGGCTGTTCTGGCAATTAAATACCATCATGACACAAGGAAGATGTCAACAGAGAAAGAGGCAACAGCATCGACACAGAAAAACACAGTAGCAGGACCTTTGCCTGGTTCCGCGCACCTTCATTTCATCCACACAGTTCTCCACTGGCTACTATGGCCATTCCTCCCTTTAAAACACAAGGAAACAGCAAATACACCACTCACTGTACACAGTAATTAAAAACCAACAACAAACCAACCAAACAAAAAACCCCACAAAACTCGAGTGATGCCAAAGGATTCGTTAGAAAAGGGGAGAAACCTCTGCCATATAAACGAGTTCTGAGTTGCAAAAACTGCCTCTGTTTTTCCATACTTCCCGCATACCCCAAGCAGCGTGACCCCCAGATTTCATGGGAAGAACAAGAACATTTGGCAAGGCTCCTCTGGAAGGAGTTTAGACACTAACAGCCAAGGTAAGGTGGAAACCTATTCAGAGAGAGGGAACAAGCGTGTCCTGACATTGCAGGGAAATGCTGCCCTCATCTGTCTTCCAGTGACAGGTTTCATTTTCCTGCCTACCACGCCTAAGCCATTCATCACATCTCCAGTGAAAAGGTGACTCCATTATTGCAGCCAGCTCTGAAGTCTGTGCCTGGATCTCTGTTTGCACTGGAGCCGTTAAGCAATGCTGGCGTTAGTAGCTGGAGTCAGTGTGACCCTGCGGCTGCAATGGAATTTAGATGTAGAAATGTCTTGTACTGAAGATAATGCCGTGGCCTAAAAGAAGAAAATGGATTATGGGTTCTTTAAAAGACTGAAACTGACTGAAGGAAAACATAATTCCCCATGCCAGGAGAGTGGGAATACTGAAAAGCAGTGCTGGGGCTTAGCAAGAGCAGAGGAACCCCTGGTCCCACAGCGATGTGCACAGCAGTGCGCCGAGCAGTGATCTGGGGACCTGGATGCCTGCAGCCTAGCCTGCTATAGGAAGCCACAGAGAACAGGGCCGGTTTGCTCCTTCATCCACACTGGTGAAAATCCAGGACATACACACACAGACGAGGCACACTGCAAGCAGCATCATCAGTGGCTCTCAGGGAGGTGAAATAAAGAAGTTGAACATGCATTCATATTCCATTGAAGTATAAGCTTTGAAGCTGTACTAGGCACCATCAACGCACCTGCACCCAGCTCCTTCCATACCTGCAGTGTTCCCACCAGCCAGAGACTCTTTCACAGTGAATTATCTGCTTTTACCTCATTTTGATTAATAGTGATAGAGAATAACCATCCCTTCTGGGGCAGGAAGCTGGTTGGCAGGGGTGCTTGTTGCTTATTCCACCTTGTGGAACTCAGGCTACCCATAACAAAGCTACTCATAGTGAAAACTCTGCACCAGAAGTTCTCTTCTGGTTGCTTGAGAAGAAATAAAGTAAGTCTGGAGCTCAGGAGATGGGGCACTAGAGGGAGATGCCTGGATGGGACTGCATTCTGGCTCCATTGAACACGAATCTGTTTGTGCCTGGCAGGGCATGAACAAGAGGGAAAATTCAATAGGTTTCTCTTGGCAACAATCTGTATTTGCTTGTACATGAGTTAGTTTGCAAATGTGAATCGAGTAGTTCAAGGTTTGCTCTCCAGGAGAGGGGTGTGAGATCAAACCAAAGGTACAGGTCAGCATCTTGTCCCTGGCATCAGCCTGGTGTAGACACCCAGGGAAGGGTGTAAGAGCAATGCACACACTGCAGACCGGCTCTCCTGGTGTCCTCAAAGCCTCCGGCACCAGAAGTGGCATCTCATCCCCAGGCATGGAGAGTGAATGAGAACAGGGTGAGGCTCATCTGAACCCTGGGGACTGGGCAGTGAGGGTGCTCCAAGCATCACAGAAGTGCAGTGTGAGGCTGAAAAGTTCCGCTTACTGGGACAACTGGTTTGCCAAGGTAATGCACGGTCAATTCCAGCCTGCAGAGGCCAGGGTGACATTAAGAGGGCAGCCCTATGGCTACTGGAATGCTTGGCTAGAAGCCATGAAGCAGTACAGGCTGGAGAAGAGAGGGCACTGGGGAGACCTTATTGCAGCCTTTCAGTTCTTAAAAGGGGCCTAAAAGAAAGATGGGGAGAGACTTTTCAGCAGGGGCTGTTGCAGCAGGACAAAGAGTGATGGGTTTAAACTAAAAGAGGGAGATTGAGGCTGGACGTGAGGAAGAAACTTTGTAGAGTGAGGGTGGTAAAATCCTGGCACAGGGTGCCCAGAGAAGCTGTGGCTGCCCCATCCCTGGAGACATTGCAGGCCAGGCTGGATGTGGTTCTGATCAGCCTGGTCTGGTTGAACATGTCCCTGCCCATTGCAGGCGGTTGGATTGGGTGAGCTTTGAAGGTGCCTTCTCACCCAAACCAGTCTGTGGATCCAGCATCCTTTTAGTGCATCTGGCACTGGATACAAAAGACCTTTCACTGCAGCCGATCTAATTCAGAGCTCAGACACTGCGAGAGCCGCCAGCCAGGCAGGAGCGATGCCAAAGGACTCGGCTCCAGAAGGGCGGGTCCAGAGCCCCAGAGCAGCCCTGCAGGGCCCCGGGACGAGCCGCGGTTCATGCCCATCCCTCGCAGGCTCCCCCTGCACGGGTGCGATCAGAAGACACGGGCACAGGCTGCTCTCTGCTGGTCGCACAGCGCCGCGCAGCCCCGCTGGAGGCAAACGGGGGTGAGGTGGAAGTGAACTTAAATACCTCCCGTACATCTGGCTTCATGCTTATGAGCAGCCTCTGCGAGAGAAATCACTTTGGGGAGGGGGTTACGTTTGCTTTCATAAGCTTGGCCCCCTAACTTTAGCTTTATGTACAGCTTTGATGTATGGCTTTGCATGCATATAGAAATGCCAGCTGAAATACCTCTTCTGAAATGTTTCCCTGTGATAGGTGTAGCTTTTGGAACTGCACATGTCTCTGTTCTCTTTCTGGACTCAAAAACTTGCATTTTGAGCCAATTCACAGTGAACATTCTTCCTTCTGCACTTCTTTTTGCTGTCCAAGAGTTTCCCTTTCCCTTCTGTGTAGCGGGATCCAAAGCAAAACCATTTGCTTTTTTCCCTCCAAGTGAAAACCCCGAACCCTGGGCTCTTTTCCCACCTCTCAGCACGGAGCATCCGCCCTTGCCAGGAACGCTGCACTGCTTGCACTGTCCACACTCCTTCATGTCCAGGAACAGCGATGAAACACTGGGAGCATGGAACATGACACAGAAAGCGGCTCTCTGGGGACCCCAAGGGGAAAAAACGAGAAACAGAAAGAAGCCTGCTTCATCACTGTGCAGTGATCTCAAACTTTTTGAGTTGTTTTAACCCAGCAAACACCAGGATGCTGGGCACCAGCCCGTGCAGGTGAGCAATATGCCCAGGTCTGCTGGGTCCAGCCTGCCTCCAGAGCAGCACCACTGCTTCAGGTAGCCGTCGGGGGCTACAGAGCAACCCTTGCTGCTGGGCCAGGGCTATGACAGGTGAGGAATATGAATGCCAACTCCTAAATACTCTTTGGGAGTTGCCAGCAGTCACCAACATAAGGAGGAAATCGACTCACCCAAAGAGAGCAACAGGAGCAATGTACCCGGAGGATGCCAGATGTGCACATGCAGAGAGGGATCCCAGGAGAGCGAGCCTTGCCCTCTGAACTGGGGGGGGATTTTCTTACCTTGGAGAAAGGAGATAGCGCCAAAAATGAATCCCCAGCCCTTGGAAAACTGTCTTCTGCTGCTGTTCTGGGAGGCTTTGATAGTGCAACATCATCAAAACAGCTCCCAGAAGCCTGTAAGACAGGTCTAGAACAGAAGAAGCCCCAGAGGAGCCCTATGGGCAGTAGTAGTGCCTCCCCACAGGGTAGTGGATGGCTGGTATTACCCTGCAGCATCTCTTCTTCCCAGCATCTCTTCAACCTCCCTCCTGCTCCCAGCCTCTCCACACCTCAGGGCCAGTGACAGCAGTGTTTTCTGCTGGTTCCTGGTGGACCATAACCCTAAAGCAGCTGGAATGCAGGAAAGGGCTCCTCTCAGCCCTCATCCCACACACTTCTTTATGATTTCCCACACAATTACAGAGCTATTGCACTAGATCCTAATTTCTATAAGAAAAGGCTTCCTGGAGGTTGAGTCTTGCCAGTTCAATCTCCCAGAGGCTTAGGATCGTAGAAGAGTTGCTGGTATTTTGCTTCTCACCAACTGCCTCCCCCCCCCCCCAACTCCATACAAAATCTCATTTTCCAGCTCCAAACCCATTAAAAACAGAAAATCACATTTTATTTGGCATGAAGTGTTGATTTGACACAAAACCACCGGTATAAAACATAGACCAAGCTATGCAGCTTGGGCAACAAGCCACTATCCACGCTCCTTCATGTCCAGAAACACTTGATGAAGCCCTGAGAGGAAGTGACAGCTAGAAACCCTGCTGCATTGGTCCCAAGGAACCATTATCACAGTAAAAGAGATGATCCACAGCACATAAAGTGTATTCATTCAATCCACAGGTCTGTTACCAGCAATTCAGCTGTACCACAGGTAAAGTCAGGTTCTCTTAACCTGGCCCCCTCCTGCCTAGGGAGCAAATCTGTGCTCCCAAATGCATGACAGGCTTCCTGACTCTTCAGTAATCTCATCATTTCGGCCAATTTAGAAGAAACAGAGCTACAAGGCAGTTGTAACCTTCACTTGGGGTAAGTTCCTCTTCTTTCAGCTCTACTACAACCTTGATAACACTGAACCACACTTCAGGTCTTCTTTGGAAAGGAAAACCCAAGTCTGAGTGAAAGATGCAGAGAACAAACCGATAGGTAATGCCTTGGTGGGTGGAGGAGAGCAGATGCACCAGAATTCAACAGTTACTATTGCATTCTCTATATGGAAACACAGGGTCTTTGAATTACAGAGAGATGAATGCTGAGCATAGGGCATGACACAGAAAGTGGCTCTTAGGAGACCCCAAGGGGAAAAACCAGAAATAGAAAGAAACCTGCTTTTCACCAGGTTGAGGCCTTGCTTCCTTGTTTTGCCACTCAATATTTAGTTGCACAGACAAAATCCACACACACATACTGTAGTCAGCATCAAATCCTGAGCAGCCTCACAGCACTGAGCAAGGCTTAGGGAGAAGAATGGTTCCTGTTCCCTGAGCTGCAGTGCCAGCAGCAGCGCACCCATCCACCTCCTGCTGACTGCACAGCACCGGGGATGGCAAAGCACAGCGGAAGGCAGCGACTGCTCATGGCACAGCAGGGCATGCAGGCACAGCACCTCTTGGCTCAAATTCCCTGTAGCTGTGCAGCATCAGGATGTGCCTTTGTTCTCTTCCACCCCTGTATCTGCAGTCCAGCTGGATACTGGGTGGATGGGGGGAAGCATGCCCAGTCCATCAGCATGGGGAGGCTGCAACGCATCTTCCTGCCCTCTCAACCTAAACATCTGGGGACATCTCAGTGTCTGATTTACCTCTTCTTCCCCAAACATACAGCACTGAAAACAAATAACATGGCTCGCTTCCATCTGGGGGCTGGGTTTTGTAGGGCAGGGGGTTGATTTGCTTGTTGTTGTTTTGCATTGTCACATTCTAATAACTAAAGAAAAAGACCCCCACACATATGTTAAAAAGTCATCATCCAAACGGCCGTCATTGTTGGGTGTATACGAAGCCAGACACAGTAGGAATCTCATGTTCCTTTTCCTTTTTGGGATCTACAACATGGCTGTATCTTTCTCCTCGATGACATTCCAGATAGGGCCCCCAGTTTGCAGTGGGCCTGCAGCAGCTTACAATGCGCTGGAAAGGAAAAACAAGAGGCATTTAATCTCTTACCAGGCTATTGTTAAAGTTCAATAAAGCTGAAAGTCCCGATGTGCTCTGGAGCTACCAACGCATGGCAAACACATCACCAAGGCGTTTTAAAGTAACCCAAATCATAAACCACAGCCTGGCTTGGTAAATTTGGCCAGATGCAAGTACCAGAGTTGTGTTTTGCTATAGAAATCCAGTTCATGAGCACCGCAAGGGGCTGGCGATGTGTTGCTTAAGAAAGCAGAGGCGTTCCTGGTAATGCCAAGGAAAGCAGGATGTGAGAGCATGACAGCTCTTTTGTGCCTTTACCTGACAAAGATTTCCTTCAGCTTTAACTACTTTCACAATAGCAACGATGGGGATCCAGATGACACAGAAGATGATCATGCACCAGCCAACAGCAGTTCCCCACGCTGGGTACACCACTGAGCCGTAAGTGGGAGGTGAAAACGTGACCAAAGACCAGACCAAAATTGCCTATTAAAAACAAAAGGCAAAAAAGATTAAGAAAGAAAAGCAGATTTGCAGCTAACTTGAACTTGCACCTTATTCCCAAGTTGTTAAAGATTAATAACTACAAATTCTGCAGTTCCCGCTTGCCTTCCCTATGCCAAAATGGTTGTGCAGATCTGGTGCTGTAGTCAAGAAACATAAGACTAAAGGATGGACTGAAAGGCAGCAATGATAGGCACCCTAACACTTCAAGCACATCTATATTTAAACAGAACTTGATCTCTGTGTTCTATTGAAATCTTATGTTGTAGGATATCTGTATTACTGGATAAGCCCAGAGCCTTTCTCTGTGTGCTTTATATGTTCCCATGTTCCACTGTTTTACAGGAATATGGGATAGAATCCAAGATTAAACATTGGCAAATATTGCTGCAGAAACAAGATACTTTTAAGCAGCATTTTCTAAAGTGTAATCTGGACAGATTAAAGGTTATGTGCTGGACATGACTTGTCACTGCTCCTGGATGCGGGATGTTAATAAACTCTCTCACACGAACACAATCCAACCATCTACACTCAGTCAGGAGTAATGAAAAACTGAGAAGGTGACAGGACACAAGAAACCTCAGTTAGATAGGGGGAGAGCTAGATATCTAAAGAGCAAGCCCAAGCTAGGGATCTGTCCTGCAAATGGGATTTACCTCAGAAGGGGAAAAAAATAATCCAGGTTTCCCAAACATTCCTCAATCTGAAATCTAGATAATCCAGCTGCTAAAATGGGCAACCTGGTGCTCACTCTGTGTTACTGCTCAGGAGCGTAGACCCAGCTCACTAGCAACTGATCTGAAGGTCCAGCCTCTCCTGGAGAGCACCCAAGGAGGAGGGGAATGCATCAGAAAGCATAGATAGCACACAGTGTTTGCTTCAGTGGCACAGCCATACCCCATCTCCATACACAGGGCCTGGGCATTCAGCCTTGAGTCTTCACATGGAAACCTCCCCAACACCAAGAGATTGTGTCGCTCTAACACATCCAGTCATCTCCACTCACCATTAACAGCACAGGAGTGACAAAAAACCAGCACATTCTCCACCACATCCAAAACCAACGGCTCTTCTTTCCAATCATCATTTCAATGTCTTCAATGAACCTGTTTCCTCCTGTTGGAAGACCATGGTAGGGTGCTCTGTAAATCAGGTGTGGTGACTCAAAGAAAGGCAATGATCAAGGACAGTGTCTCCAGTTCCATGGTAACAGTTGAATTATAAATGCTTTATTGTGGTAATTAATGTTTTACGTGCACTGTGCCTCAGATTGCATAGTCAAATCATGGTTCTTCAATGCAAATAACTTACCGTAAATGTAAATGATGCCTATTATCTCCAGGACAGCTGCGATAAGGATTCCCCAGCCAGCACAGAAGTGATCTATGAGGTTAACCCAGTAAATCCCTGCCTGTAAAACAACCAATAAGGAAGTGAAAATTTGAGTGGTAATGTCTTTATGAAGATAGAATAAGTTGCACTGTTCAAGCCAGGTTAACTCATCACCAGTCTGAGTGTCATTCCCAGTTCTCCAGGTTAAGCACACATTTGGGAAAGTGACTTTCATTGAATCACAGAATTGTTTGGGGGGGGGTTGGTTAAATATCTCTTTGTAAAGCTGAAAAGCACATCTGACAAAATACTGCAGATCTGTATACACATAACAAGATATATATATATATATGCAGCTTCACACACCAGCATGCAATAGCAGGGTCACAGAGCAGGAAACGAGCCATTTCACACCCTTGTGTACCAAGTCCTTTGAAAGCTTCCCTGCAGTCATGTTTCATAACTTCCATGCCTTGCTTGACCACACAACTGTCTGCTCACCACAATTACCTTCTTCACATTCTCAGCCTAATTACATACATAAATCTGCATTTCTAGATGGAGTAATTGCAACGAACCTTTATATCCTTAAAAGTAATCGCCCCAAGAACTTTTACACAATATACTTCAAATTCCTTTTATGTATGTATGTATACACACGCAGGAGAAGTAACCGTACAACCTACAGATGCTGGTGAGCTAATAGGGGATTTTTATTACATGAATAGGCCATTTCTCAATCCTGTCCTGTTTGGTAGTCAGTTCTGAACAAAAAGATCCCATCAGCATCTATTAGCAGTACCCACAGCACTGCAAACACGCTGTATGCACATGCTTGAAGTGACATAAATAATCTCCTGAACTGAGGAGGAATCAATCAGGGTGATGGCTCACAGGCTCTGTACAGGCCTTCTATTTTAAAGCCCATCTCAGTTCAATAATCAGAAAACCTCAGGTTCTTCAAGCTTCCGTCTGGGAATTTCTTATTGGCATGTCCAGGCACGCTGGCAGAACTCAAGATCTCTCAGAACAATCCATGCAAACATAAACGGTTGGAAAGGATACTTTGACTTGAGCTCATCACTTGCAGCATCACTAAACCCATTGCCAGAAAAGAATGTAACGTCTTACCTGACTAACACAGATCAGACCGAGGAGGAAGAGCAGTACGCACACACCCAGGGTTATAGGCAGTCTTAACTTCTTCATCACTTGGGGATATATATCTTGTATGGTGGTTGTCAGCGTTTCTGCAAAGGAAGAAGTGTGGGCTTTGAGCAGCATGGTTAAGAAAGGCAGTGTAATTTGCAAAGCCACGGCTCATTTAAAACCCCACTCACCTATGGTGGCAAACTGAGAGTCAAGGCCCAAGAGCAGGAGCATGAAGAAAAACAAGAAGGACCACAGCGGAGAAACAGGGAGTTTGGAGAGAGCCTCGGGGTAGGCTACAAACGCCAGGTCAAATCCTGGAAGGCAGTGGAAGGAAGGGGGTTATTGTCATGCCTTGACCAGAGCAAGTCCTGCCACCAGCAGCGTGATGCTCAGCCTACCTGAGTCCACGACCTCCGAGACGGGCCTCTCGGACACGAATGCCATGTGTCCCAGGATGGAGAATATCGCAAACCCAGCGAAGACGCTGGTGACACAGTTGGTCACACAAACCAAAATAGCATCCGAGTAGCAGTTGTTGTGGAACTTATTGTATGAGGACAAAGCGACCAGCCCACCCCATGCCACGGACAGGGAGTAGAATATCTGGGTGGCTGCATCTTTCCAAACCTGCCAGAAATAGGAACATGGGAGTTACTGTACAACTTACGGTACGCCTCACACGCTTTTAAGTCTGTCTCTGTTGAAGTTCCAGGGTTTTGTTTGGTGTGGGGTTTGTTTTTCCTGCATTTAGCCTGAATATCTAATTCCATTTCATATGCATTTTAGAGGAGGCGAGATATAGCACGCTGGTGACCTTGAGTTTCCAGCACAAACAATAAAACAATATCTTCTATTATCTCTAAAGGCCACATCCTTTAGAGAAGAGATTCAATTAGGGGCATGGGGCAATGGGTTAAAACTTAAACAGAGGAAGTTTAGATTGGATATAAGGAAGAAATCCTTTACTGTAAGGGTGGTGAGGCACTGGAATGGGTTGCCCAAGGAAGTTGTGAATGCTCCATCCCTGGCAGGGTTCAAGGCCAGGTTGGACAGAGCCTTGGGTGACCTGGTTTAGTGTGAGGTGTTCCTGCCCATGGCAGGGGGGTTGGAATTGGATGATCTTAAGGTCCTTTCCAACCCTAACTGTTCTATGATTCACAGATGTGGGATCTCAAGATAACAATCTTGTCACAGCGCCAACAGATAAGGAAAACCAGGACGCGGCTGCAGAAGTGGAACCTTCCATGTGTTCTCCCACTTGTGTTCCTCACACCATGACCCAGACAAACCACATCTGCCTCTGCTGCAGATGAAACCCCAGCATGACCCCCAAGAGGTGCTCAGAGGCAATACCATGGCTGTGCTCCCTGTCTGGCATGGCAGGGAGAGGGCAGAAGGCAGCTAGCTGTTTACATTGAGAGTAGCTACAGCAGGGGCTTGGACTTCCAATAGAGCTGCCCTCCCATTCTGCCCCTCTGCTGCACTCTGGGGAGCCCCCCCTGCAGCCCTGATCCAGCTCTGGGGCAGCAGCAGCACAAGAGGGACCTGGAGCTGTTGGAGAGAGTGCAGAGGAGGCCATGGAGATGCTGCGAGGGCTGGAGCAGCTCTGCTCTGGAGCCAGGCTGAGAGAGCTGGGCTGGGGCAGCCTGGAGAAGAGAAGGCTCCTGAAGGGGAGACCTTAGAGCAGCTCCAGTGCCTAAAGGGGCTGCAGGAAACCTGGAGAGGGGCTTGGGACAAGGGCCTGTAGGGACAGGGCAAGGGGAATGGCTTGAACCTGCCCGAGGGGAGACTGAGCTGAGCTCTTAGGCAGAAGCTCTTCCCTGTGAGGGTGCTGAGGCGCTGGCACAGGGTGCCCAGAGAAGCTGTGGCTGCCCCATCCCTGGCAGTGCTCAAGGCCAGGTTGGACACAGGGGCTTGGAGCAAGCTGCTCCAGTGGAAGGGGTCCCTGCCCGTGGCAGGGGTTGGAGCTGGAGGAGCTTTAAGGTCCCTTCAACACAAACCACTCTGGGATTCTTGGATTCTATGATTTTAGAAACCCCCTCCTTCAGAGGAGCTGCTGAAAGCACAGAACCCACTGGAGATACAAAGTGCAGAGCAGCTCATGGAGAAGAACCTGACTGGATAAAACCCTAAGTTGCTCTGTAAGTGACAAGCCTGCAGAACCACAGACGTGTGTCATGCTTCCGGAGCTGTCACCACCTCTCACCTCTGCCTCCATCAGCTTGGTGATGTTGGACTGCCTCCCAATGTAGTATTCGATGCCATCCAAAGCACCCTCCAGGGTGGCACCTCGCACCAGCAAGATGAGCAGGATGACGTATGGGAAGAGCGCAGTGAAGTACACAACCTGCAGGGACACACAGGAGATGTGAGGGGACACGCAGAGCACCGTGCAGGGGGAATGGCCAGGCTTCAGCTCAGGTCTGCTGGCACAACTCAAAACCAGGTGACCAGGGAAGTGAACACGTGCCAGCCACTAAAGCATCTGGATGAGCCAGTTCTGGAGCAGCATTCCGGCAGGAAGCACAGGGCCCGAGCCACATACCCACTTCTCAGATAGCACTTGAGCAGTTCCACAGATGTGTTTTCTGACATGATTTACTGGTGTGGACTTAACCACCCCAGAGCCCTCTTGCCAGGCTTCTAGCAAATGCTAACTGAAAGCTGGTTCAGACTGGGTGGCCAGCGTGGAATTATCTCCTGCAAGCAATGTTCAACAGTCCTCTTGTTCCTCAGCTTCAGTGCTACGCAGCCAGGTAACTGACCCAGGGGTGCTGGTTACACCAAGCCGTAGCATTACACCACCATACGGTGAGGGCCATTCCTGAAGACCTCCTCCATGTTTGCCTGGAATAGTCAATTCTCACTGCTTTTCATCCCTGCCTTGTTCCTGCCCAGCTGGATTCTTCTCAGTCTTAGCTTGCTCCTCAGAGCCTTACCTTCGTGCCAGAGGAGAGGTGACAACAGGAAGAGCCAATTGCCAGGAACCCAAAGAATGCGAGTTGAAGAAGAGCCACGCAGCAGAACTGTGGCTGGGAAAGCAGAGATGCTCCACACCCTGGAGGGCTGACAGCTCCAGAGAGAAAGCAGAACAGAAGGAGACATCAGGCTGAGCAAAGGAAGACAGGCAGTGAGGACCCACGGAGATCCACAATGGCTGAAGGAATATAAAGGAAACCAAAACCAGCAACAGTGAGAAAAACTGCAGAGAGGGTGACAGAAAGAATGAAGGCAAGAGGATGAAGATGCACAGAGGTAAGCAAGCTGCAGGGGGAGGAAGGAACCAAGTCAGGAAAGGGGCTGCAAGAAGGAAAGACTGAAGCTCAGCCTGCCTGAGGTCTGGAGAGGAGCTGGCCTAGCCCAAGGGAAACTCCAGGCAACCGTGCTCCAGCACATGGAAACGGAGGCTCAGCAGAGCCAGAGTCTGAACACCAGCACCCATGGACCTGGTTCCACAAAGCAGCTCGAGCTCTGGAGTCCCAACAACATTTCCCAACCCGCAGGAACCCGCGCACCCACGTGTGCTCGCAGGATGTGACCTGCATCTCAACCAGTCTGGAGGTGCAAGTAATTGCCGGGTGTTCCCAGGGTGTGTGTGCGTGTGCCGTCACGGGCACAGGTCCATCAGGCACTGCCAAAACCCAGCTGGAACCACCTGCGTGACAGCAAGGTCCCCACACACACGGCGGCTCTGGTGGAGCTGGGACCCATGGATTAAGTAATTGCTGTGTAATCAGCACCTTACTCGTATTTTATGTACCAGCTACGAAGCCAAGGCACAGAAAGAAGGTCTGATGCTGAGCCCAGCAAAGGGGAGGGGGTTTGGACTGAGTCCTGCCTTTGTGCTGACCATCCCTGAGTCCAACTGGCATTGAAGGGCAGGATTCCAGCACCTAAAGGGTGCCTACAAGAAACCTGGAGAGGGGCTTTTTACAAAGGAATGTGGTGACAGAACAAAGGGGAAACTAAGGCTTTAAACTAAGAGGGGAGATTAGATCTGAGGCAGAAGTTCTTCCCTAAGGAAGTTGGAGCTGGGTGAGCTTTAAGGTCCCTTCCAACATAAACCAGGCTGGGATTCTATGATCAGTCTGCTACTTGCTCTTCCTAACTTACCTTACCAGAAGACTTTATTCCCTTAAACAATGCAGCTCCAACAATCACCCAAGACAGGAGGAGGCAGAGAGCCAGGTACCACACGATGTTGCCAGTCTCATCCAACCCACTCGAGCGCTGAAGAGTCACTTTACTGCAAGCACAAAATGCTGCCATGAGAAGAGGGTGACAGCAGCACTTGCTCCTCTTCACCTACTGCCTGAAGGAAAGGTTTCTAATGCTATTACAAGAGCCTGCAGCTGCTTCCAGTTAGAAGTGCATGGCTGGCATTGAAACACAAGTGAAATCCAAACTAGATGATACTTTGAAGGAAGATGGAGGTTGATGGTTAGCATTAAGATCACTGCTTCTCGGTCATTGAACAATATATTTCCTCTGAAGGATAACAAGGGTAATATCCACTATAGGTGCATATGTAATCCTCATATATGCCCCATCCCTGGCCAGGTTGGACACAGGGGCTTGGAGCAAGCTGCTCCAGTGGAAGGGGTCCCTGCCCGTGGCAGGGGTTGGAGCTGGAGGAGCTTTAAGGTCCCTTCAACCCAAACCAGGCTGGGGTTCTGTGAAAACCTGAATATTTAACTGCATTTTCCCTCTCTTTTTAAAGTCTACCAGCCCTCAGCTCTCCGAACATCTCCCATCAGGCCTGCCTCAGATCTTTAACGTTAGCCATGACATTCTGATGGCAAGAGAAGAGCCTATAAGAAGAATCAGTTTGCACGAACCTAAGGAATATGAGGCAAATTGAAACTAAAGAGATATCGATTTCACAGCAGGCCCAAATCCAGAATAAAGTGAATACATTTTGCACAGTAACTCCTAAATAAAGAAGTATATCCTATGGGATGCTAAGCAGTCCCTCCCAGCACTCCAGAGAGGAGTGCTTCATTAAGCTGGGGTATTTTCAGTTTGCTACAGGTTCATTTGCTTTCTTTTAAGGGCCCAGGCTCATCAATTCAATTTGAAGTTTAAGTTGCATTTTTAGCAACTTCTTTAAAACCTTTACTTACTTCCAGTATTGCTCACTGGGGAATTGCACTGGTTTGTAGTTCACGGTGCCATTAATACAGGTGAGGTTGTTGCTTGTGATGAATGAGTAGTTTGCATGAATGATATCTCCATCAAAGGTTGCGTTGCAGTCACTCACTGAAAGAAAGCAAGCAGGAGGGATCACTGACACAGTGATGACTGTTAGAAATCCACTGTTACAGCACTTACAGATTCTGAACTAGCATCAACTTTTGGTTAAATCAGGCATCTCACGTTCATGTTATGAATCCTATGAATCTTAGAAGAGATGTTCAGATATAAGGCTACAGAGAGTTACAATTACCTTAACATCTGGGAACACATTTCCAGCTACTAATTATCTCACCTGCTTCACCTGGTTCTGAGATGGGAAATGTTGAGATAACAAGTGTTTGGCCACAGATCTGCTGCCAAACATCAAGAACAATAGCAAGGAGGTAAGCTCTTAAGAGTTAATAAAGAGTGAAACCAGTGCCTCACTGGTGCTCAGAATTACCATAGCCGCAGGGTAGGTGAGGGGCAATAAAACAATTGCTGGTACTTTCAAGGAAGGTATGTGCTTTGCCATGGAGCCTGATGAAATGGGAATGCAGTATTTCCAGGGACTGCATGTGCTACAAGAAACCTTCGATTTCCAAAGAGAAAAAGGATCTAACAGCCCAGCTCTTTGTATATTCCCGAAGCACCCAGAACTGGCTCCAGGGAAGCAGATTAGCATCACTGCCATGTGGTCAGGTGTAAAATTCCAGGACTTTTCAAGCCATGGGGAGCTGTCTTGTGCCTGTAATTTCTCCCAGAAAACAGTACAGAGTACAAGCATCCAAGATAGTAGTATTAAGGTCTATCAGTAATATTAATTAATATATGATAACAAGTAATATTAAGTATGGTACCTAATCGTGTTTTGCTGCAGAACTCATCCGCCCAGGAGAAGCAGTCTGACCACGGCAGCACTTTTTGAAAGGAGGCAAACAAGTAGTAGAGTGCGTAAGCAATGATAACGTTGTAGTAGATCGCCACGAACGTGGAGATGATGACCATCGTGATGCCCACTCCTAGGAAAGAGACACACAAAGCCTTCATACCCCAGACTTGGGTTGGAAATATCATGAAAAAAGGAATGGCCTCCCCTTGACTTTTAAAGGACTGTTTGGGAAGAAGCTGAGCTTAGTTTTGTTTGGGTTTTAAATCATGTTTAACCGCAACCAAACTGGAAACGGTTTTGATGCAGAGTTTGAATCAGGACCACAGAAAAACTGGACTAGTTGCTAAGTCCAAGCAGCTGGAAGCTTGGATTGCTTAGTAAAACGAAACTACACTAGGGCTGGTCAAGCTATTTTAAAGATCTCACTGTAATGAATGGTTTTGCCAGTAAATGAGAAGCAATACAGAAGAGTAAATCTATGCTGATAATGCTATTTTCTTCCTTTGTTAAAATGAACTTTGCTCTGTGAGTTTGGGAAAGTCTGTCAAGCTGTCCCACTCATCCTATAGACTATATGTAAGGCTTGTATCTTCACAGACACATAAAAGACTTCCAGTGTCTATAGACTTTGTCTTGAAGTTAAATACAGTGCTCTCAGGAAAGGTTGCTTGTCCTGCAGAACAGAGACTAAAAAGGGTAAGTGTTCAGGCCACCCCACAGGCTGTGATCCCTTTGTTTTCTGTAGAAGGTGGAAAGTAAAACTTATTACAAACTTCCTTGTTCCTACATTAAATCCTCTTGTAGATACAGCTCAAACAAGACCATTTGCACAGTCCTTTACACCCATCAGTACAGAGCCTGGATAGACAGGAGTGAGTAAAGCACATGGTGGCTTGTCTCCAAACACATACATCTCCCTAGGGAATTCCAGCCCTCAGAGACAGAAAAACTACCACTACAGAGTGCAACTCTCATCACAAGAGGCACCTCACCTTATGAACCAGTCCAGCCTATTTTATCACACCAGCAGATGCCTCCCAGGCAATAAGTTGGGTGAACATGTGCCCTGCATTGCATAAAGCAATCAGACCCAAGTGCCTGTGCCAGTGCTGGCAGCTAGGTATGGAATTAGTCCACCCAACATGGTCCTGCCTTGCAAGCTACACCGGATGTGATGTATGAAGAAACAGCAATAAAATGAACCTCTAAACATGATTTTCAATCTGTTGCACTTGGTGCCGGGTGTTTAACTGGGGTTTTCCCTCTCCCAGCAAGCAGGGTGCTTTCCTCCTGCCTGGGCACATGCAATTCAGGTGGAGTGCTGCATAACACCAGGAGAATCCCTGATAAAACATCCTAGGATCGACACCCTTTGGGGCAAAAGCTTTAATGCCCACCTCCTTAATAACTGAATAAGTAAGATCACAAAAGCAGAATGGTGAGGGTTGAAAGATCTACCTGGGAACATAGACTCATGGAATAGCTTGGGTTGGGAAGGACCTTCAGAGCTCATCTGGTCCAACCCCCTGCATAAAACTGACCTTGTGACATTGGGAATATTCTCTACAAGGAAACTGGCTTCTCATAATTAGTAACTTTGTGAAGAAATGATTAATTCCCGTCTCTTTATTACTCGAATAAAAAGATCTAAAGAAAACATAGCAGTACCAACCTTGAAAGAGCGGTAGTATTCTCCAGATGGAAATCGGCCCCAGGCTGGCAAACTGCCCAAGGGAACATTCCATGAAAAATAAGGGCAAACCAGCTAAGGCCAACATCAGGGTGTATGGGATGAGAAAAGCACCTGAGGGGAGAGAGGGGGGAAAACACAAACACACAGGGAAAATAATGAATTTTTCAGTATTTATACCCCAATTCCACCCCATTTTATATCCCACTTTGCCCCCGCTTCAAATACCCCCCTGTGGGTTCTTTTCTGTTTGCAGAATGGAGAGATTTGTTTCTAACCCCTGTTTCCTATCAGATTAAACAGTACCTGTGATGAAGAGACACAGATCACCAGAACCAGTGATTTACATGGGATGGCTTCTCTGATAGAATCAAAAGGATTTCACATCAACTATCAAAGTCAGACTGCTGTCATACAGGCAGGAGCACTGCTCAGCTGCAGACCCCACCAGATCCCAGTGTATCTTCCAGCTTTCCATTTTAAAATGGAAACAGAAGGAACAGAACCATTCCTTCCTGGGCTTCGCTGTGATTTGCAACTGCTCTGTTCGAGGAGCTACTGGACATCAAAGCATGAAGATTATTGTCTATGGTTGGCTGACTCCTGTGCCAAACAGGATCCCAGCGTGGCTTTTGTTCATGTCCATTTTAAAGTGTACATTAACCTGATATCAATGAGAGCCCTGTTCTGCCAGAGGGACTTTGTGTGCACGTCTTTGTGTGTGCGCAGAAGACGGGGCAAGTGAGAGCACAGGTTTCCTAAACACAACCTGATATCCCCACAGAAACCTGTGCTCTTCACTGAGCTTAAAGCAATCGAGGACCCAGCTGTGGGGGGGGGGTACCTGCTGTCATGTAAGGCAGCAAATAGCCCCACAGAATTAACTGGGTTACTCCTCAGGTTTCAAAATGAGGATGGAGCAGTCGTCTTTATCAGTTGTGGGGCACAGAGTAGGATACGAGCAGCAGTACAGATATGCTTTACACGCAAATCTTTCTGCTCCAGCAGAGAAGTGCAAGGGCCAATGTCACAGCTTAGTCTGGTTTCATGATTCCCTTTAGCAAATGGTAAGTAATGCAGCTTCTGCACCAAGCATGCCTCTGGGTGTTATACATGCTGTGCTGCGCTTATAGTCCAGGATTTGACTGCCAGTGTCTGTTAGGCAGAGAAAATAAGTGCATACAAGCAAGTCCTCTGCAGTTACTTGGTGTTTACGCTCTCTTTAATTACCAGTGGTTGCTTGGCAAGTAGACAAAGCTCTGGAATAGCAGCCGAGGAAACCAGTGCCTCCATTTGGCTTTGCCACTAGCCCATTGTGTAAGCAGGTAGAGGCTTTCTGTGCCTCACACTTCCCGAGTATCTGATGAGGTAATTATTGAGCTTGGATAATTACTCCAGCTCAGCTTGTTTGCCTGGCAAAACAAAGGTGCAGGGGGGATTCTATTGCTCTCTATAAACCTATCATGGAGGTAAGCACAGGGGAGGGAGAACAGCTAGTTAGGTGAGTAGAGGATATGGGCACATTGACAAAAAGATGCATTTGGTCGTGAGCAAATCAGAAGCATTCTGGAAATTGCAGGTGGAAGCTTGCAATTAAAACAATTAAAATTAAATCATAGAATAGTTGGAAGGGACCTTCAAAGCTCAGCTAGTCCAAATCCCTGCAATGAGCAGGGATGCTCTTCAACTACATCAGGTTGTGCAGAACCACTATTTCTCTCCTCAGCTGGTACCCAAAAAGCAGAGATGCCTCTAAGTCCTCTTCCCATTCCTATCAGCAGGTACTACGCCAGTTCTGAGGGTGATGCTCACATCCAGCTGTGACAGGACATGCCCAGCCTCAGGGCCCTGCTCTCTCTTGAGGACAGCAAGATGCGCCCACCCAACACAGCCATTCCACACAGGTACCTCCGCCGTTCTGGTAGGTGAGGTAGGGAAACCTCCAGACGTTGCCCAGGCCCACAGCGTAGCCCACCATGGAGAGCAGGTAGTCGCCTTTGTTCGACCAGTTGCCACGCTCCAGGTTCTCATCACTGTCACCGATGTGGGCATCTTTCTCGTTGGACAAACTGAAGTTCTTGGAAGAGAAGGAGAGGGAAGGCTCAGGATCACCCCATAGGCGAGCAGCATAGTCATATCCTCATTCCTCTGTCCACAGCAGCACCTTGGCATCACTGGGTGGGCTGCCTGGCCACCTCATCCCTAGCAGGACAGCATGGACCTGGGTGAGAGGATCCCACCAGAGAGCCCAAAACAAGCTCTATGGCCAGTTTTGCTCTGCTCCTACTGTAATCCCATGTGCTCTCAGCTCCTGGAGACAGGATATCCAAGAGATGCCCTGTTCCGATGGTCACACCGGGACATACTTGTGTGCCAGCTCTAAAACACCCTGCCTGGGTGCTCGTCCTTCTCAGTGCTCCCATTTCCTGTCTGGATCTCCCTTTTCCCATACAACTCCATGTCACCATACCTCACCTCCCCAGTGTTCCAAGGTACCTGCACCTCACTGACTGAGTGGTACCTGGGCATCCCTGGGAGCACCCAACCCCATCCCCATCCTCCTCACCTTCTTCTTCCCGCAGGAGAGGAATCCCGGCAGGCTGAGCATCCCCATGGCCGCGCCTCCGGAGCCGCTGCGCTCTGCCCGCACCGCCCGCAGCTCTGCCCTATTTAAGAGCCGGTTCCTTCCCTCCCGCCCGCCCTCATCGGGAAACCTCGGGTCTGGGCTGCCCCGCAGCCACGTCCCGCCCCGCTTACCCTGCTCCACTTCCTCGGGAACACCCCTGACCACTTCCCATCCTCACCGCCCCTTGCCCTGCTCTGCTCACCTCAACCCGGGACCACTTCCCCTGCTCCTCACTCCCAACACAGGGCAAGGGAGGGGGAGACCCCCCTGCAGCCCTGATCCAGCTCTGGGGCAGCAGCACAAGAGGGACCTGGAGCTGTTGGAGCGAGGCCAGAGGAGGCCATGGAGATGCTGCGAGGGCTGGAGCAGCTCTGCTCTGGAGCCAGGCTGAGAGAGCTGGGCTGGGGCAGCCTGGAGAAGAGAAGGCTCCTGAAGGGGAGACCTGAGAGCAGCTCCAGTGCCTAAAGGGGCTGCAGGAAACCTGGAGAGGGGCTTGGGACAAGGGATGTAGGGACAGGGCAAGGGGAATGGCTTGAACCTGCCCGAGGGGAGACTGCGCTGAGCTCTTAGGCAGAAGCTCTTCCCTGTGAGGGTGCTGAGGCGCTGGCACAGGGTGCCCAGAGAAGCTGTGGCTGCCCCATCCCTGGCAGTGCTCAAGGCCAGGTTGGACACAGGGGCTTGGAGCAAGCTGCTCCAGTGGAAGGGGTCCCTGCCCGTGGCAGGGGTTGGAGCTGGAGGAGTTTTAAGGTCCCTTCAACACAAACCAGGCTGGGGTTCTGTGATTATTCCCCCTCTGCCAGCACCTATCCATACCCTTGTCTTCTACCTACAAAGCTGCTGAGTCCCCATCACACAGAGACCGCACCATGCACTGCCTGAAGAGCTGCCCCACTACAGCCCTGCTCCTCCCCACAGAGCCACTGTCCCTCCGCCTCACCTACCCTCAGTCCCCCAGACCCTGCTCATGGCTTCTTCTCCACGCTTCCATACCTTCCCTTCATTCCTTCTTAACCTGCTCCCTGCTGGAGCCCAGGCTCAGGAGATGCCTGGAAGCAAAGGGCACCAAGGGGTTAAGCAGTATGGAAATTTCAGCTTCTCAACACACCTTTCACATAGAGCCGGGCACAGAAGGGCAGGTCATAAAAGCAAAGCCACTGCCGGAGGGGGAATTTAACAAGCAGTGACTGAAGGACCTTTTCTGAAGCATTCCCCACCAAAATGACCTTCCCCAGGCAACCCCTCAGGACACGCAGGAGGACACAAAGGATACTTCAGGTACAGGCACAAGGGGACACTGCTCCTTAACTGCCCTCCTCCATTTCTAGTGCTATTTCCACGGCTCTTTCGATGCAGGCTGTGACACTTTGTGCCCTCAGCGGGACTCCTGTGCTGGGTAGAGCGCTGCCCAGCATGACTCCATCCAGCCAGGACTGAGAGGTGCCCCGGGAGTGAGCAGCGCACGGGACAGCGCCTGAAAGGTGGGAAGGCGACATCAGGCTGTGTTTTATCACCCTGGCCAGCAGGTTCTCTTGGTGAGCTCCACCGCAGGGGCTGGGAGGGGGCCAGCACACTCTGCCTTCGGAACAAGGACCAAGGGCAAGTGCAGCGCTCCGGCAGGACACAGCCTTTGAGGGAGGAAATAAACAAGAACCCAAGGGAAGGCTCCACAGGCTCCCCGTGAACCTGGATCCAAGTGGCCGAAGCACTGTGCTAGATGCAGCCCTTCAGGCTGGTTCTGCTCCCCCGCACCAAGGGCACACCGAGACACCAGCCAGTATTCCTCCAGAGCCCCCCTGAACGGTCCATAGAGTAAATGAGCCCTTTTGACCACCCTGATCTCAGTTACGTGTTTGAGATGAAACGAGGGAGCGCGGTTCTGGGTTGGATCCTGGCTGATTTCGGTACCTGTGGGTCACCGTGTCCCCAGGGGGAAACAGAACTGCTCAGGAAACAGTGCTGGGTCTGACAAAAGCCCCGAGTTCTCTTCCAAGCTCATGATTCAGAACTCGTTATCGGCTTGTTTAGAAATGAGACGAGATGAAAAACAACCTGGTAGCCACAGCCTCTCCCTCCTTATTAGGATTAAGTGCATGTTGTAACGTTGTGGAGTCACTGGCTGTGGCATTCTCTCTCTGTAACTGAAGATGACTAAAAGTAGAACTATACTGGAGGCAGCACTCCTGGGATGCCTTCCGTTTCTGACCATGGGAAAGTTGCATTTCTAACGCATTTTCCTGCGTTTAAAGAGGGAGAATGAAAATCACAGCACAATCAGAATTCCCGGGGTGATCAGTGAGGCGATGAGCACCCTGAAGGAGAGAATCGCCTGGAGCAGGGGGCTGGTTTTGCCTCTGGATTAGGCACACAGCTGAATAACAGCACAGCAGCTCCATTTGCATTCACTAGAGGCTGAGCCCATCAGGTTCATCCCAGCCGGAATGGCCACCCATCACTCCCCACCCTGTGAGCCTGTTACTGCTGGAATGCCTCTGCCAAACACACAGAGATAACAACCAGCAAACCAAAGGCAGCTTGGCTCTCCCATAGGTGAGATAGCCCATCTCCTGACTAGCAGCATAACTGAGCTGTCCAAGTAACCTTTTCCTTTGGAAAGCACCCCTGGCTTACTATGAATTCCACTAACTGAACACTCTTAATCCAATGGAAGGGAGAAACACACAACCATTAATGATAACCTTAACATGCTGACAACACAGCACAACAATTCTACCATATCCTAGAAGCAGTGAGATACCCATGTTTGCCTTTTGGTTGTACCAGTGCCCTTATCAGATGCTGGATATTGCCCTTAGCTAACACAAACACAGCTATGGCCATGAAATAGATGGGTTTGGTTGTGTTAATTTAAGCATACAATGAGTAAATTCCCTTTCTTCATCCGGCTCTTCTGCCACAGCAGTGCTTACAAATAGCAGCACCCGCGCACACATCCAAAACTGACCCAGCAGCACAGCCAGGGCTCCTGTACCTCTCCCATTCCCACCCAGCAGGAGCCAAAGACCTGCCCGAGGGGAGACTGAGCTGAGCTCTTAGGCAGAAGCTCTTCCCTGTGAGGGTGCTGAGGCGCTGGCACAGGGTGCCCAGAGAAGCTGTGGCTGCCCCATCCCTGGCAGTGCTCAAGGCCAGGTTGGACACAGGGGCTTGGAGCAAGCTGCTCCAGTGGAAGGGGTCCCTGCCCGTGGCAGGGGTTGGAGCTGGAGGAGCTTTGAGGTCCCTTCAACACAAACCAATGATTCTATGGTTCTGTGAACATGCACAAGTCCTGAATCTAAAATCAAGTTTTCTCCCACCCAGGGAAGATGTGCCAATGGCACACTGGGCTCTACCTAAGCTGATGTCACTGCTTTTGAGCCTTAATTGAAAACAACCTGAGAAGAGGCTCAGGATGCTCCAAACACGATCAACACTGTAAATGCAAAACCTCAGGTGTTGTATCATGGAAGTATCATAACAACAGGTACAACTAATAAAAGGGAAGAGATAAAGGACAGGAGAGCCAAAACTTGGGAGCCTGCGATTATCACAACCTGATGATTGAGGAGCACAGAGGTGTCAGGGTGTAATGATTCGCCTATTGGGAAACCTCTCAGAGGTGTGGCCAGTAGAAACTAAGGACTCATTTTTAATTGAGTAAAACCAAGCCTAGGAATGAGTGCAATTCTAATTTTCCAATGTGCTGAACTGAGCTCATCAATCCCATCAATCCCAGTATCAAAAGCCGGTATCTGTGGAGTTCAGCAAAGCCAAGAGGGGCAGGAAGGGGTTGTTCTGTTCTGGTGGGTTTGTGGGGATTTTTCTTCTAGTTACACACAAAGAGCTTTTCACAGGAGATAAAGGAAATACATATTCTTGAGAAGCTTCTGCCTAACAGTAAGGCTTTGAAAGACAGGCAACGATGACCACGCAGCAGAAATGAGACCTTTCAGCTCAGTCCACTTTTCCTTTAGGTAATTCTACATTCTAGCATGCAGTCCCTGCTACGTGATCTCTAAGACAGAATTATCCCTGTGATTGAGCTCCTGCACAACAGGATAAAAGCCAAGCTGTTAGCTGCTCCTGACATTTAGGGAGGGAAATACCTTCATAAACCCTTTCCTTTGTGTAATACCTGCTCCTGCAGGTTAGCAATGACTCTCAGAAATAGCCCATCCAGAGGGATTTCTCATGTAAGCAAAAGCAACCCCACATGCACTAAGAATGCCCCAAAAGCACCTGCTACAAGAACACAATTCTAAGCCTAAAAGGAAAAAGCAGGATTCGGACATTAATATCCACCGCAATACAGTACTTCTCCATGCCCCCAAGCAGTGTTATAGGGACACTGGACCAACAGTTAGCTCACTGTACATGCTCAGAATTTAACAAAACACCACCAAACCATCCAAAAATACAAACGATAGAGGTGCTATTATTATTCCTACTACTGGAACAGTATAATAAATACTACTGGAGCAAGCTGCTCTAGCGGAAGGTGTCCCTGCCCGTGGCAAGGGGTTGGAACTGGGTGAGCTTTCAAGTCCCTTCCAACTCAAAGAATTCTATGATGATTCCATGATTCTGCTATCCAGTTCTGCTACTGCTCTTTCCATCACTAGGCTTAAAAAGGCTTTATAACAGAAACTGGTCTTTTCCCAAAGGGGAGAGCTGAGGTGGGGTTGTTCAACTGTTGCATGCAGCACCTCTTTAGCAGAAAGCACACGAACTGCAGTGGATGCAAGCAGTGGACCCCATGAACCACCATTTCCCTTATCCTCAGCACAGGACCTTCTCTCCTCTATAATCCAGGCAGTGCATTTCCATTCCCCTCCAGCAGAGAGGAGAGCTGACCACCCACCAGTCAATCCCTAACTGGTTAGGAAAACCTTCAACCAGAAACACCATCCGTTAACACCAACAGTGCACACCTTGGTTGCCACAAACCTGGACTCTTCCAGGCCCTGGGGCTCTCTCCCTCTGGTTCAGGTTCCTATGAGCAGCCCATCATCCCTCTCCAGCAGCATCAAGAACAGCCATACCTGGCCCCAGAAGCCGAGTGAAAGGGATGTGAAGGG